GACCAACTCCCGCCAAACGGTCATCTTCCACTAAAACCAATGAAGCTACAGAATTGACTATGTAAAATACATTGTTTCATTCGAAACTTTGATTTTGGCATAGTCATTAATATGGAAACACAGTTGACATCAGAGGTTAATATGTGAAGGTATAAAAATGAAGTAATGTGTTCACTTACTTTGACTGCAAATTCATCAGTTTCTTTCAGGGAGTGTAGTTCAAATATGACCGTTGAGCTATAATTAGGAAATTCTGATACATCCCAGCCTAAAGATGTCAGGATGTTGATGATGTTGTTTTCATGACCACTGTAGAGAAAAATTTTTCGATTTTCGGCACTCAATCTATTTCGAGTTTTAGCAAGAATATTTTCTAGAACTCTCTGTAAACTCCTCCCTGGAATGTTGAGATGAGGAATCAATGATAAAATATTGAAAAGTGGCAAATCGTTTGAAACATAAATTTTACTGGTGTATTATTCAAACTCTCACGTTCTCTTTAATCAAGTTATTGTCACAAAGAAATAAAATTGGATCATTCATATACCACATCAATTCTAATTTAACGAATGTAATCTGGCCAAAAACATAGAGAGCGACAGAAAGTGATCTGGCGTTAAAATCTGCTTTTCGAAAAATTTCATGTATTATTATCTATAGGAAAATTATTAATGAAAACACACTAAAATGATTACCAACTTCGCATACATTTATTTTTCATTAACAGGGATGTAGAAAGATTGTTAGTAAAATGAAAAGCTGGTCTAGGAAACAGTCAGACTAAGATTTATGGTATGATCTGAGGATCATGTTCATGTTCTCTATCACCCTACTTTGGATGGCCTTTGCTTCCTGGTCAAGCGCATTTTGCCACAGGGGAGATCATGTTACTTTTAATTCTGCGCTGTAAAGTGGTGTAAGGTAGATTCGCCAAATAATGCCCGGTTCCTAATAAGGCCTATACCCCCTTAATCCCCTGGCAATATGCTACATTTGTAAACTCAGTAGAGCTATCTAGATGCAGCAGAGATACCAAACATCGCTTTTTACGATCATTCGTTCACGTGCTTCCATGTCTATACGTTCAATATAATTTTGAGGTTAGTATACCATTGAAGCTTATGTATGCGATATTTTTTAATCTGATGGATGTCATTTGTATACTTGATTGTTGTTGTTTTTAAGTATATAGGTACATTACTTTAGGTTTATTGAAACGTTAATAATTCTAATGTCCAAAAACATTGGCCTCTAACATGTTACCTGTCAAATGGAAAACAGTTGAAAACAACTGAAAAAAAGTACTTAAAATGAACACTGTTCATTTGGAAACTCAAAAAAAAACAAAGAAAAACATAGAAAGTTGTTTTGCCTGCAATAAAGATGCTGTTAAGGATATGATACTTTGTGACGACTGTAAACGATATATTCATGAAGAGTGTGTAGCACTTTCGGCAGTTGATAAAGACATAATTTTCATATGTCCAGACTATTCACAATAACTATTTCAAGTATTATTTTTTACAAAATAAATGTGCTATTTGTCACCCTTGTTTCATTTGATCAATTGTGGCATTTAAAAAGTCGGCTTTATTAGGTACATAGTATTGGCCTAATAAAGAACATAGTGTTCCTAATTAGGCCGAGAAACAACCGATTTTTAAAGACCCAAAAGTAACAACTTATAATAGATTTGAAAAAAATTTATAATTCCATATTAATTTCAAATATGTCATTTATCTTCACATATTCTTGTTTCATTACCAAAAAAAAATTAACAAGTATCAAGTGGGTCTTATTTGGTATACTTCGCTTATACAAAGTATACTGTTACTGACAGATTTCTCTAATTTTGAGCTCGAAAGTAAAAAACTTAATTTTTGGTTTAATCATATCGTCACGTTGCGTCGGATGGTTAAAAGTAGTAGAAATTTAATCGTGATAGTCCTATTTTCACTATCTTTACTGTAAATAACAGTTCTGTGCGTATTTTTAGAATTCAGAGTCAATCTAATCTACCTCTAGACACAGTAGTATTGAAAGAACGCAGTTATATCCCGAAAAAAATGGTTAAAAAATATGTAGGTACTCTTCGTGAATAAGAACTGTCAGACCAAAATATCTTCTCAAAATCAACCAGAGAATTATTTTTAGAATTCAGAGTCAATCTAATCTACCTCTAGACACAGTAGTATAGAAAGAACGCAGTTATATCCCGAAAAAAATGGTTAAAACATATGTAGGTACTCTTCGTGAATGAGAACTGTCAGACCAAAATATCTTGTCAAAATCAACCACAGAATGGAAGAAAACCTCATTCTTCCAGTTTACTTATCGTAGGACGTCATATTGACGCAGGCGGCCATTAGTTTCAGAATTGAATCAGTTAATAGTAAGTAATCACCCAAACAAATGAAAATTTCCGAATGATTTTTTTTTACAAAATTATTTGGCGAAATGTTGAAACTCAAAGACTTCCTAAAATTTTGGGGTTATTGTTGCCCTCGCTTGAGGTGGAAGTGATAGCGGAATGGAAACTATCGTAAAAGATGTCCACCTCCAATATAAAATTCTTGCATTTTCCTAAAATCTTGACGTAGTTTCTGATAACATTTCCGTTTTGCTTCCCTGTATATTTGTACTTTGTGATATTGGTGTTGTGGTAATCTTTTAAGATCGGTGTTGATGTTTTATGCTCTAATCGTTCATAATTGCTAGAGATCTCACGATACAAGGTGAGACCTACTTAATCCTTATCTTGCTCAAGCTACGATTTTTGAGAGTTGTCGTTCGTATGGGAGCCACAACTAGTTAACATATTTTCTTATAGATTTTGCTCTTTGAAAATTGTAAAATAAGGTTCTCAGGTGAAAGTTTGTTACTCTAATCACCTTGGTTACAACAGAAAATTGAATAATAAGTAATGAAAAGACTATTATTTATTAAAACATTTCTTACCGCCATTCAGTTTCCTGAGAAGTGGTGTGGAGTTCTCTAATTGGTATCTTTTTCTGGCAATTTCACCTACTTCACCTGGAAAAACAGACTTTGACCATTCGGGTAGTGGCAAGTTCATAGTATTTTCCGCTGTCAGAGTTTGGAAGATACCGAAGACGTCGCTGGTACTTGTGATTGATTTTCCTGTATGAGTAGACAAGTATGTCAATAAATTTTCTTTGCTTTTCATATAATTTTGAACTTCTTGAGAATTCAACACTCTTTGTAGTTCTTCATAATAGGCTGGGCAATAAGAATTCGGCCTCCTCAAAAACTGAAAGAAATTTATATTCAAAACATGACAAAATGGATTCGACTTTCACGGCTGAGGTTTTCAGTGTCATTGCTTTTCGAGTTTGAAAGCCATGGATTTTTGGAATTTCTTCCTGACGTTTCGCTGGCGCGAGTGGCTAGCTTCTTCAGAAGTTTAACCATCATGGCTTGCTGTCCGATGACTTTGAAGCCTAAAAGATAGTCATCGGACAACAAGTCATGATGGTTAAACCTCTGAAGAAGCTAGCCACTCGCACCAGCGAAACGTCAGGAAGAAATTCCAAAAATCCACGGCTTCCAAACTCGAAAAGCAATGACACTGATATTCAAAAAATGTTCAGTAGGGGAGACTGGGTATAGTTGTCTCACGGGTTGGTTGTCACAGCGGCCAAAATTGGAAAATTGAACGAACGATAGGGTTTATCGAACAAAATCGAAGGATCGCGAGAGCAATATCTCCATCATACTGTCATACTGTATGAGGGAGATACATACATTTGTTGTTTTTTTTTCGGACGGCAAAAGTAAATTTTTGTCTACTAGAGTTTTCCGTAGATATATATCATTTTATGTATTTTTGATGTGACATATGTGGTTCATGATATCACTATCCGTTTTTATGAATGAATATCGATTCAGATTTATTTCAAGTCACATGTGACAACCAACACCATATATGTGTGCTGCATTTTTTGTTGGGTTTCTGAGCTTCTGCTACATACAATTTTGTTTGTTTTCGAAAAAGTCATAGAAATATGGCATCGTATGAAAAAGTCTGATCGACTAATATTACACGCAGTGATACTGCAGTGATATTGCGTGTAATATGGATTAATTATTATCGCACTCTGACACGATTTTGTGAAAAATTCACTGTCGAAGAGATAAGCAACACGGTTTTATTAATACCATCAATAAAAATTGGTTATCAAAGGTATAGGTAAATCTTCACCGACAAATAGAAAAAAGAATTATCAAGATACATACTTATGGCTTTAAGTATTTATTTCGGTTCGTCTTCCAAGGATATTTGACAAAAGCGTTACATTTACCAGGTTACATTTGCCATACCAGTCTACTAGGTTACATTTACCATAATTGTGATTTCGAATATTCACTGAATTTTGGAATAACTAAATATAATTTCGCTAGGATGGGTATTTTTAGTTTACAAGAATTGTTCACCGGTTTTCGCATCTGTCTAACCTTGAATATAGTTGGATTTTAGTAGATTGTATGAATCACGGAAGAAAGCCAGTTGCGAAAGGATGCATTTTGTATTTTTATAAATTATTTGATTTGTCATAACAGAAATTGAAAAATGTATATTGTATGAATCTGAAAAGTTGAAAACTGTGCATAATTCCGATAATTTCAAACTACACCAATTCACAGAAGAGTCTCGAACTACTGTAGTAGTAGTCGAATTGCCATATATGACAATAATTCAATCTCGAAACGTTGTCTGACATTTTGGAGCATTTCTGTAGTTACTTGGTGACAACTTTTCACGCAAGAGGGCGCTAAAATGAAAAGCTACGTAGTGAATATTCGTATGAATGAATATATTGAGAAATTACGTTTTAAATGATTTGTTGCATTTGGTACTTTTACTATTCAAATTTAAAGAGTGATTTTAGGAGTGATGGGAGTGGAGGTATGACAGTTGGGGTTATGATGGAAAGATGTTCCTTATGAATTAAAAATTGACCTGTTTTTGGATTTTTCTCTCTTGGAGATATTTGGTCTGTTTCGTTTACGGTGCTTACTGTATATAATTTACAGAAATATTAGAAATCATTGAAAAATATATTATGATGAACCAAGTTGTTTAAATTGGCCTATACCTACTATCAAATGAACCATATACATCTCGAAATATCTGTATTTACATATTATGAAATTCAAACAATTATATGTATTTGTAGCATTCACAAATTTCAAAGAAATCCAAGTCAGAACCAATGTTTCGTTACGAAATAAAATTAAATTTGTATACTCACGTCGGTAAGTTGACCCCATCCCATAGGCAAAAATGCTTGCAATTTATGAGGATCGTTGGGATAAATATCTTTGTGTTCTGGTGTTCGAGCTCCGTGCCGACTAAACTATAAGGAGAAAAAATAAATTGATAGATTCAAAAGTATTGAAGAATCACTGTCACAGCCAGATATAAATGAATGGTTCAGGACAATGAAGCAGTAGTACAAATCTCAAATATGAAATGAAACCTTGCCTTGGTTGATTTACCACATGGAAGAAAACAAACAAAACAAAGTGATCACAACGTTTGGCTGCTTGTCAAAGTGTGCTCCTAGATGAAAGGTCTAGATTTTAGGGAAACATAATCACCAGTTATATATGCTTCAGTTTCATAAGAATTCTTTAGAATATTGCTGTTAAGTACAACCTCGAAATCGATCAGATGTATGCAGTGTGTGCATTTTTGCAAGGGGAACTGAATGAGATGTTCAATACAAATGAGATGTTCAATAAAACTAAGAAGGTTTGTCGTTCAAAAAAAGTATTTTTGGTTGAAGTAAGGTAGCAAGGCTTGGAAAACAAAATTGAACAGGTATTTGAGGGATCTCATATAATCTCAGATGAAGTTAGACTTAAAAAAAATCAATTTTCAATATGTTAGACATGGCTGAGACCAAATCTACCCAAACAATCATACTACTAACTCACTATTTTAATGTTATTCAATTTTATGATATTCGATTGATATTTTTTCAGCAGAATTTTTGGCTAGTATAGGAGTGTCAAGTTTCCTTTCAT